ACACAAACCTCCGCTGTGGATTTTCAAAACAAAATACAGTAAACCGATGGTCGCAGGCCCAAGTTTAACTCTCTGAGACCTGCATGGTCTGCCTACAAAACAAAAATAAACAAATGTTTATGCAGCCCCAACAACAGCCTCTGATCATCAACAGACTTCATGCAATGCTTCATTGGATGCATATATTGGATCAAATCTAACTCCTAAAACCTCTAAATCTACTTCCAGCATGGATAAATGTTCATAAAATACATCCATTGTTTGTTTTATTCGCTTCTTGATATCCTAAAAAACACATCGTTTTTCTAGAACAGAATACAAATCGCCTGAAAGTGGTACAAACAAGTGGCAACATGTGTGACGACGGTGTTGCGCTGGGCTATATCATGCAATCAAAACTGAAACTTAATCTCGCTCCATTGCGGAGATATTCCCGCGAGAGTGCGAAAAACTTTAATGAATTAATTTCAAATGTTACCAATATACTCACGGACCACTAGGGGGCGCTCACGGACCACCAGGGGCAGAAGCACTGTCCTATGGTATGGCCTAACCCAGGGGTCAGCAACCCGCGGCTTCCCCCTCTGCTCTGGCTCCCTTGGTTCTTAAAAATAAGAAGGAAATTAAATAACAGTGAATGTAAAATATGCGTCACATCCTGCTAAGGTCCCGCGCCAGCGCCTTTTCTTACAGGTGAATAACCTAACCCCCGGCTCGATGAGCGAACTATGGATACATCAAAGAAAAGTATGGAAGGGACACAGAGGGTTGAATTCAGCGTGGACAGAGTTATCTGCTTTCACAGCAAACAATGCTGGCTTACCGGAATGTTTGATATGTGGAGAGAAGTTGCCAAAGGTGCTGCAGCCTTTAGGTATTGGAGGAAGAACACGGAAGAGGAAGACAGCTGACGATGTTCAGTCTTTTATTTATCAAGTTATCAGATATGTTTTGCGGCTCCAGAAAAAACAGAATGGTTGGAAAAGGGGCAAAATGGCTCTTTTGGTCAAAAAGGTTGCAGACCCCTGGCCTGAACACATGTTGGGGCTCCAGTACTCTTCCATGGAGTCAGGGGCCCCCTGCTGTGAGTGCAGTCAGCTGTCTCCTCTAAACAGTGACACCCCTAGTGATAAACTATAACAGGCCTAACCACGTACATTCTGTATACTGTGATGATAGAACAACATGAAATACAATGCATTTTCTTTGTGGATTATACAAGAATATATTTGATTATATTAACTTTCGTTTGAATGATTCATCTCTCCACTCACTCCCTTTCTCTTGTTCACTTCCTGTACACTCACTCCCTTTCTCTTGATCACTTCCTGTCCACTCTGTTTGATGGCCCTGTCTTTCTTCCTCATGTCTTAAACCCATGTGGAATTCAGTCTCCTTCCCTTGGATGCTTCCCTCAGCTGAACTCAAACTCATATCTTTCTCTGTTTTACAGAAAATTGCACCTTGAAACAGAAACAGAAAGAGAAACAGAGAGCCCAACGCCATGCCCGCCATCTTTAGATTCCCGTGTTCCTGTAGTGCTCTTTGGAACCATTCTTTCTTCAGCCTTTCCTCGTGTTCTCGTTGGCTGTTAGCCATCATCGTCCTGTGAACGAAACCAATCCAGTTAGCATGATTCAAGAAACCTGCTTTGCCCTGGCACAATGAGTAATATATTTGTTTAGCTCTAGTTAAACTACGAGTTAAGTTTCTCTGGAAGGTACCGGTCTTCCGTACTTCAGTAAAAATGTGAACGACTTACAGTGCACCTATCATGCTATTTTTAGGCAATAGCATAGGTCTCAGATATATAAAAATATATAAAAAACATGTCTATGAAGTGTTTTGCAGATCACCCATCACCTCATATCCCTCTATTTCACTTCCTGTTTCAAAAGTGATTTGGGGTATAAAGCTGAGCTCATGTTTAATCGCATAATCAAGGATTTTTGCCCGCATTTTTCTGGAGGGTCTAATAAAAGACATCAAAAAGTGACTTTTGCATGATAGGTCCCCTTTAAATTGAGAATTTAGACCGGATATTACCTTATACTAGCATATACAGTGCCTTGTATTTTGAACCCACTACATTTATTTCAGAGCCTCAGTTACAAGTTACTTCAGATTATTAATACAAAATATAAATCAACTAATAAATGATGATATATTTTTATAGTCAAAGCTACTCAGCGGTAAAATAAGCATCTCACTTAATGCCTTTGAACTGATTCCTCAGCGTCCGGCTCATGTTGTCCAAGTCGTCAGCGGCACCTCTGATGGATTGGCTCGCTTCAGTCACGTGATTGTTCTCGATCATTTTCTTCCAGCTGTCTATCGCCTTAGGAAGTGCAACCGCAAGTCCAGCAACTCCAACAACTCCAACAGCAATCTGAGCAGGAATATTTCACACCGTCAGCCTCAACAACATTCACATTGATCGTCTCAAAACTAGTATTATGATATGTAGCTGTATGCGGAGGATTTCAATAAGTCATTCAATAACACATGTAAGATCTTACCATGGCCCTTCCTTTAAGGTCATTTCCCCCTCCTTTAAGGGCAGTGCCCCCTTCTTTAAGGGCAGTGCCTCTTTCTTTAAGGGCAGTGCCTCTTTCTATAAGGGCAGTGACCCCTTCTTTCAGGGCAGTGCCTCTTTCTTTAAGGGCAGTGCCTCTTTCTATAAGGGCAGTGACCCCTTCTTTCAGGGCAGCGACCCCTTCTTTAAGGGCAGCGCCTCTAAGGGCAGTGTCTCTAAGGGCAGTACCTCTAAGGGCAGTGCCCACTACTTTAGAAATTGTGAACATTATTTTGAAGATTTGTTTGCTTGCTTCATCAACAGGCGGCAGTTTAGGGTACTTTCCTCTCGCTGGTAATGCAAAGGCTTCTAAAATATGAGCAACTCCAGCAACCGCCTTTGCAGGCAAGACTCCATTTAATAATATTTCATTCAGAGGAAACTGTGGCCCAGAAGAAGAAGACAACTTGATGCTATCACAGACTGTCCACTTCTGACCATTCCTTCTGCCGATGGCTCCCAGGACCTTAGCCATGACTCGTTGGTCCAGCTCGTCTTTGTCTGCGTTGACGCTCTCCGCCTTACACTCCTTCCTCAGCTGCTCGAACAGACGCTTGATTCTTTCTGCAATCTTGTTGCTCTTGCTTTCTATGCGCTGCGCTTTCTCCATCGTCACGCTGGATAAGAGGTGCTCATTAAGATGAGTAACCACAGATATGGTTACACCTACACCCATATATGTTGCTCCTAACGCAAGAAACGTAACCGCTAATCCGCCGGTGATCAATGTGATCAAGCCGGCTCCAACCAGGCTTGCAGCTCCCGCCACCTGCGCTGAGTTCCCGATAAACTGGTTCCTGTTGCACTTCTCTCTGAGATCCTCCAGCTCCCGGGCCAGTTTCCTCAGCTGCTTCGCACAGCCCTCCTTCTGATCCATCCATTTGAACATCAGATCCAGCAGCTCGTCCGCTGTGCCCATCATGGAGGCTTCCTTCTGATGCCACTACAGAGGAGGTCTGAAACAAGAATGACATAGATTAAAAAAAGGATAAAAAAAAAATAATGAATTTCTTTTAATTTACTATTTTTATTTTGTAATAATCTCGCGACCCCCACTTTGGGAACCCCTGCAGTCTGCACTAGACCATGGGCCGGCGGTTGGCCCGGAAAATGTGCTTTGTTTTGAGAGAAAAGTTTTGGCGCGAGCATGGAAATGTGATTGTCATTTGAACGGGACGGCGCAAAACGAGAAGCATTCTGTCTACAATACAATCTACAATACGTTTGTGAGCAGGGGCGGACTGGCCATTACATTACATTTAGCTGACGCTTTTATCCAAAGCAACTTACAATAAGTGCATTCGACCAGGAAGATACAACCTTGCAGAAAACAGAATCATATAAGTACATCAGGTTTCATAGAGCCAAACATTTCAAGTGCTACTCAACTGGCTTTAGATAAGCCAGTCCTTTATTAGTATAGAAGTGCTTTGTTAGTAATTCAATCGCTCGAAGTGGAGTCTAAAGAGATGAGTTTTGAGTCTGCGCCGGAAGATGTGTAAGCTTTCTGCTGTCCTGATTTCAATGGGGAGCTCATTCCACCATTTTGGAGCCACGAGTTTTTGCTGATGGGAACTTGGGTCCCCCTCGCAGTGTGGGTGCAGCGAGCTGTTTGGCCGATGCAGAGCGGAGTGCACGTGCTGGGGTGTACGGTTTAAACATGTCCTGGATGTAGGAAGGGCCAGATCCATTCGCAGCATGGTACGCAAGTACCAGTGTCTTGAAGTGGATTCTAGCAGTTACTGGAAGCCAGTGAAGGGAGCGGAGGAGCGGCGTGGTGTGGGAGAATTTTGGAAGGTTGAAGACCAGACGAGCCGCTGCATTCTGGATGAGCTGCAGAGGTCGGATGGCCCATGCAGGCAGCCCAGCCAGGAGGGAGTTGCAGTAGTCTAGGCATGAGATGACGAGAGCCTGGACCAGAACCTGCGCTGATTTCTGGGTCAGCTGGGGACGTATCCTCCTGATGTTGTAAAGCGTGCATCTGCAGCAGCGGGTTGTAGCAGCGGTGTTTGCAGTGAAGGACAGTTTGTTATCTAGGGTCACAGCCTGATTCCTTGCAGTCTGAGTCGGGGAAACAACAGAGGTGCCGATGTTGATTGTTAGGTCAAGAGTGGGACAATCTTTTCCCGGAAGGAAAAGCAGTTCAGTCTTGAGAGTCAAGGTTGAGCTTCAGGTGGTGAGCAGACGTCCACTGAGAGATGTCTGCTAGGCAAGCAGAGATGCGTGCGACGACCTGGGTCTCAGAGCGGGGAAAGGACAGAATTAATTGGGTGTCGTCAGCCTAGCAGTGGTATGAAAAACCATG